GTTGCCCAGGCTGGAGTGCAATGGTGTGATCTCGGCTCACCGCAACCTCCGCCTCTCGGGTTCAAGCGATTCTCCTGCCTCAGCCTCCCGAGTAGCTGGGATTACAGGCATGTGCCACCACGCCCGGCTAGAAATGCTTTTTTAAAGAGAACTCCTTTAATTCCCACGGCTGCAACGTTAGTTGAGTCTCTCATTCTTCGCACGCAAATATTTAAATCTAAGTAATTTAAAGAAGTCAGTCAAACTCATAAAGCTTTAACAAGCAGTGGCTTCCAGCCTGGAAGCCAACTGTTCAAGCCCCTAATTGGGACATCCAGGAGCTCTTTACACCCTAATTACAACTCGGAACCCAGACTCACTGCATATCCCGTCCCGTATATAATGCAAAACTTGATTCTGCAAGTTCCTTTCTCGGGCGGTGAAACTTCGAGGTCCTCTCCATGGAGACCTCTGATAAATGCTTAAGTAGTGATCTTTTCTTTCTCGTTTGCATCCATTGCAACGCCTCCGCTGATGGGAAAAACTACTCCCTCCGCTACTGCGGGGAGGGAGTGACGTCACAGAATTAGCTGACCTGTTTTTTCGGGCTTCGGGGACCTAGAAGCCCCGAAGGCCGAGAGTGAATGAGTGGGATGGGGGAGGCTGAGGCTCCTCCTGTCAGGGGCTGAGCCCTGCATCGTGGGCCTGGGCAGGGAGCAGCCTTGACGTCCGGGCTCGGAGCGGTGCGGCTGCCAGCCGACCCTGCGGCGAGAGAGTGGGTGTGTGCGTGGGGAGTCGGCCAAACTTCCTGTCCCGCGCTCGAGCTGCTTCCGGCGGGAGCCGGAAGACGCTGTGTGTGGACGGAATTCGGGACCGACTGACGGCCTGCCGGCTGCCCGGAACTACAAGGTGAGCTCCGAGGTGGGCCCGGCCACACCTGCTCCGCTAGGTAGTACCGTTGAGGGCGGGAGCCAGTACCGGCTACTTGGGGGCTGGGGCCGCGTTCGCCCCGGGAGAGGATGGGGAAATCGCCGCCTTTGGGCATCCTTCCCGGATCTGGCGGGCTCGGGAACGGCTAGTCTGAAGCCCTGTGGCTTCGGCCCTTCCCTTCGCGGGTTTTTAGGGGCGATGTTCCAGCTCCTTTGCTTGGTTTTGGGGGCAGGGACATGGGAACAGTCTGTCCTGAGAAAGCCGGAGTCAGCGAGTCCCCGGGGCGGGGACTCTCGGACTACACCCGCAGTCGGGGCCTGCCTACGGACCTTGGGGCCTTATTACTAAGGCCTTTGTGGTTTTAGGTAGAGGATGCCAGGAGGCCCTCCCCTGAATGTTTCAGTCCAGAGCTATTCTCTCCTTTCATACCACACTTACTTTCTGGGTCTGGAAGAGGGACAGCTGCCTACTTGGCTGGGCTGGGCTGGGCTGCTGGTTTCTCCTTTGCCTGTCAATTGGGGGAGTAGGGGAGAGTGTGCGGGTTGTGAGTGTTTACAGCCTTTATGCATTTCGCGTCAAATTTATCTTCGGAAGTTTCTCAAGATAATCCAGTTTATTAAAAGTTAATCCCACTTGCTCATGAGGCTTGGAAATGCATTTAGGCACCATTTGGAAGTTAAATATTGTTAACTTGGGACTTAAGAATTAGTACTTAGGTTGGCACAAAGGTCAACGCAGCATATTTGCAAGAAATAAAAGAAACATTGGGAAATAAAGTCGGGCATTTTGTTAGGAAGTGAGAAATTGCACTTTGTGTTATCTTAGTGTGGTGCAGAATAAAAGACAACTAAAGTAGCAGTCAGAAGTTAGGTTGTAGTTTTTTACGTTTTGCATCTAAATAGATGTCTAATTTTTGGCAAGTTACTTAATCTCTAACTCTGGGGAGTTTTTCTGTATAAACGAAGGGGATTACCCTTAGGGTTATGATAATTATTCTGAGGCACTGAACTTTGGATAGGAATGACAAGCATTTCTGTTTTAGAAAGGGGAGTTTTAAAGGCGGGTGACCAGTTAGAAGTCAGTTTTAATAGTATAGTAGGAAGTTACTGAGAAACCCAAACAGGGCATTACATAGGGAACAGAGAATCACGAGAATTATTTTAAAATGGAGAATGAGAGAGATTTAAAGACCTAGAATTTGCAACCGAGTGGGAGGAAGATTGGGCGATCATTGAAACAGATAATACAAGAAGAAGAACAGGTTTGGTAAGATAATAATCTGGATTTTGGACATTGTTAGGTTTGAGATGCTATTGGATATACATGTGGAGATACCTAGCAAGCAGAAATGAAGGTTTGGAGTTCAGAAGAGAGGACTAGAGAAAAATGTAGTTATCATTTGTAGTGTCATTCACTCATTATACAAATATTTATTTAGTACCTACCAGGTGCTTACTGGGAAGCTTGTATGGAAGCCTTTAAGCTCATAGTAAACACATTAGAAGTGGGAAGTGACTGGTATTGGGCACAGGATTTCCTTGTGGGGTGATGAAATGTAAAATTGATCGTGGTTTTGGTTGCACAACTCTGAATAAACTAAAGATATTTTAATTGTACTTTTAAAATGAGTCAATAGTATGGTATGTGAATTATATCTTAGTGAAACTAATTTTTAAAAAAGATTTATATTGCAGTTTTGGAAATTTGTTGAGTAAGGAATTGGGAATAGGAATGTTTAATTGCATATTTGCCCTTACACCTGTAGCTAATGTACATGGTACGTTGTTGCTGTGTTAAAGGTGAGATCCCCACGATACACTTGGTAAGATACTGAGTGCTCTAGTACAGATTCTTTTGAATTCAGTTGTGTATCTTAATGCATCCTGCTATTTTCTATTTTATTCATATTTTACACATACAGATCATAAACTTGGGCACCAAAATTGTATGGCAGTGCTTAGTTATAATATGAATACCCACTTTGAGAAACTGCTTATATTAATTTTTAAAGATTACTGAAGCAAAAACCCTGAAATAAAAAGATGTCTTAGATATAAGGGACAGTAAATAGTTGTCTGGTTCCTTAGAGATTTTACAATCCTGGAATCTCAAAGTTGGAGAAACCTTAAGAATGACTTAAACAACAAACATATGGTAATTTCTTGGCTTGTTAAGACAAACTGGAATTGGGGAAGAGGAATTCTTGTTTTTTTTGAGAGTCTCCCTTTGTTACCCAAGCTGCAGTACGGTGGCACGATTGCTGCTCAGTGCAGCCTCGATCTCCTGGGCTAAAGCGATCCTCCTACTCAGCCTCCCGAGTAGCTAGGACCACAGGCATGTGCCACCATGAGAAGCTAATTGGAAATTTTTTGTTATTGTTTAAATAGGGTCTCACTGTGTTACCTAGGCTGGGAAGAGGAATTCTTAAGCCATGGAGATTCAAGATCAAACCTAGAATATATAGTAATATTCAAGCCAGTGATTCCTGTGTACCTCCTCTGTGGGTGGGAGTCCTGGCTTTGCAACTTAATAACTTAGTAATTAAGTAATATACTGAGCCTTGGTTCCTTCCTCACTAAGTAAAGGGATGGATAAATCATATGAAGCTGTTGCAGTGCTTGAATAAGAAAAATGTGTGTGGAAGGAAAAGTCAGGGATTTATGATACTTCATGTGGGAAACTTGAAAGGAGCATTTCCATTTATATCTTGTAAATGGTTACTTCTTTACAATGAAAAATGAGGATTTCAGGCAGCTAGAAGGAGAGAGGGAGGAACCAACAGGAAAAAAAAAAAAGAAAACATTTATTCAGGTACTTCTTTTTTTTTGAGACGGAGTCTTGCTTTGTCGCCCAGGCTGGAGTGCAGTGATGTGATCTCAGCTCACTGCAACCTCCATCTCCCGAATTCAAGTGATTCTCCTGCCTCAGCTTCCTGAGTAGCTGGGATTACAGGCACCTGCCACATGCCTGGCTAATTTTTGTATTTTTAGTAGAAACAGTTTTGTCATATTAACCAGACTGGTCTCAAACTCCTGACCTCAGGTGATCTTCCTACCTCGGCTTCCCAAAGTGTTAGGATTACAGGCGTGAGCCACTGCGCCTGGCCTAAGTGCCCTCTTGATTGAAAATATACCCATCCTGGATACGGTTTACACTGTATAATTATTTATAGTAGTGCTCCCAATTTTAGCAACAATTGTTTCAAATAAAATGGACTCACACTCCAAAATCCTGAAAAGAAACTAAGCTTTAAGAAAGTAAGAATTTAAATTATAGGGAGTCGCTGGGCACAGTAGCTCATACCTGTAATTCCAGCACTTTGGGAGCCAGAGGTAGGCGGATCACCTGAGGTTGGGAGTTCGAGACCAGCCTGACCAACATGGTGAAACCCCATGTCTACTAAAAATACAAAATTAGCTGGGCCTGGTGGTGCAAGCCTGTAATCCCCGCTACTTGGGAGGCTGGGGCCAGAGATTTGCTTGAGCCCAGGAGGCGGAGGTTGCTGTGAACCAAGACCATGCTACTGTACTCCAACCTAGGCAACAAGAGTGAAACTCTGACCCAAAATAAATAAAATAAATTATAAGGAGAGAACAGCTGCATCAGGGTCCCGAGAATACTATATTTGGGAAAGACTCTTCAAATTTCAACTTCTTCTTTAATGTAATTTTTAGAATTATCAAAACAATATGGTTGCCTTTTAGAAAAGTCAGAAAATTGAGAAAAGAAAATTAAGTCACACCAGCATACCACACAGTATAGCTACTGTCATAGCTATATGAATCCCCTTTTACTTTTTCTGATGCTTATTATAACTAGTTTTAATAATGGCAAGTGTATAGTTTTGTATTTTATTTTTATAATCTTTTTTGAGACTGAGTCTTGCTCTGTCAACCAGGCTGGAGTGCAGTGGCATGATCTCAGCTCACTGCAACCTCTGCCTCCCGGGTTCAACTGATTCTCCTGCCTTAGCCTCCAGAGTAGCTGGGATTACAGGCGCATGCCACCACGTCCAGCTAATTTTTGTTTTTGGTAGAGACGGGTTTCACCATGTTGGTCAGGCTGGTCTCAAACTCCTAACCTAAGGTGATTCACCGGCCTTGGTCTCCCAAAGTGTTGGGCTGGGATCCACTGCGCCTGGCCTTATTTTTATAGTTTAACATGTCAGTCATCTGCTGTTGCATTGTCTTCATAGCGTTTGTTTGTTTGTTTTTTGAGATGGAGTCTCACTCTGTCGCCCAGGCTGGAGTGTGATGGTTCGATCTTGGCTCACTGCAGCCTTCACCTCCTGAGTTCAAGGGATTCTCCTGCCTCAGCCTCTTGAGTAGCTGGGATTACAGGTGCCTGCCACCATGCCCAGCTACTTTTTGTATTTTTAGTAGAGATGGGTTTTCACCATGTTGGCTAGGCTGGTCTTGAACGCCTGACCTAAAGTGATCCACCTGCTTCAGCCTACCAAAGTGCTGGGATTACAGGTGTAAGCCACCATGCCCAACCATTCATAGCATATTTTGAAGTGACAGTGCTGTATTTCATCAACCATTCCCTAATTGGGGTGTGTGTGTGTATATACACGTACATACATGCATGCATTGCTTCTAGTTTATTATTACATAGGATAAGATGGACATCTTTGGACATAGTTATATCCATATTTAAGATAGTTTCTTAGAATAGATTATTACAGGTTGAAATACTGCATCAAAGCATAATATTTTTATGGGTTTTGATGCCTGTTGAGCTTGTTGTATTTTAAAACAAGTGTTTTGGTTTGAATTCTTTATTTGCTTGCTTGTTGTGATTTTTTGGATATGTGAAGAAGTGCCTTTATGTAGCTGTGTTTTCCCACTGCTCTTAATGCCCCCTCTCTCTTTTTTACCCCTATTCTAGGTTAAATTGATTACCTACCTAGTACAACATCTTACAGGAAGAGCATAGTATTTCCTAGAGGAATATGAACATAACAGGAAGGTATCATTGGCTCTGAATTAAATTTGAACTTGTCCCCTGAATAGCTACAGGTTTTGGAAGCTGAATCAATGTTATCAGATGAGTTAGAATCCAAACCAGAGGTGAGCCCAGTCAGCTTGTTTCCTTTTCTTTTGGTGGGCTGTATTTCAAAGTTTATTTTTAGTTTAGGGGTCAGCAAATGTTTTCTTTAATGGGCCAGATAATAAATGTTTTAGGTTTTATAAGCTATATGGTTTTGATTGTTGCTAAGTATTTTTTCAAAGATTTAAAAATTATATTTTTATCTTTTGTGATTGTTTTTATATTTGTTTTTCAGTATATGTAAAATCGTTATGCATTTAGATAATTATGTGATAAAATCTTATAAATAAAAATATATGTTTATATATATATATTTTCATAAATATAAGATATATGTGATGAATAGGTGTATACATATATAAATATTTACTACCACAAATTCTTTTTATTTTATATATATCTGTAAGTATTTTCTTTCTAAATGTGATTAGGGGATTTAAACATTTTTTGTTGTTCCCTTTTCTTATTTAAATTTAGCACTTCTGTGTTGTAGAGTGGTTACTGATTTTAGAATCAGATTACTTAAATTTGAGGACTGCCATTGTGCCTAACTAGTCATGTGACCTTAGACAAGTCACGTAATGTCTTCCATTTGATTCCTCAGCTCTAAAATACACCTTAAATCTTACTGTGTTAATGCGATGATTGAATGAGCCAGTACACAGAAAAGTGCTTTGTAAAATGTAATCAATATGATGCAGTTGCTTTTTTTAAGTCATTATTTTAAAATATAATTATTTTTTATCATTTCTCTATTTGACAGATGGTGGCAGACGTTAACTTAATCACAGTGAAGTGTCACTTAGCAATAGAGATACATGCTAAGAAATAGGACATTAGGTGATTTCATTATTATGCAAACGTGTTAGAGTATACTTACACAAACCTGGATGATTTAGCCTGCTACACTCCTAGGCCGCAAACCTATACAACATGTTACTGTACTGAATACTGTGGGCAATTGAAACACAGTGGTAAACATTTGTGTATCTAAACATATCTAAGCATGGAAAAAGTACGGTAAAAATAGGGTATTACAGTCTTAGGGGACCATCAGCCTATATGTAGCCTGTTAACGGAAATGTCATAATACAGCACATGACTTTATATAACAGCCATTCTCTAGAAAGAGAACTTGATAAAATAACTTTAGATATTATGTTGTTTAGTTTTTTTTTGAATATGGATGAGAGACTAGTGAACAGTCTTAATTATACTACCTTTTGGTAAATTCAGAGGTTTAGATACTTTTCTAACAACATGTGTTTCTCAGTGTTGTCTTTTTTCCCCCTAGCTCCTGGTACAGTTTGTTCAGAATACGTCCATCCCACTGGGACAGGGGCTAGTAGAATCAGAAGCTAAAGATATTACTTGTTTGTCCCTCCTTCCCGTGACTGAAACCTCAGAATGCAGTCGGCTAATGTTACCAGGTAAAAATTAAGATCACTAGAAGAGATAGGATAAAGAAGTCTTAAGAACTTAGCCTACTCTATGTTACTGCTGTAATGAATATATCACTTAATAACTGACTGGTAAAAATTAGGAGTCATGGAGAAAAAGCAATCATGAAATCATTAGTGCATTGGTAGTTTAAGCCATAGGAACATAGATGATCACCCAGAGAGTGTGAGAATGGGGGAAAAAAGGCCAAGACAAAACTGTGGAACTTATATTTAAGGTACAGGGTAGGGCAGGAGAACCTGTAAAGGAGGGAAGAAACAAAGATTAGAGTAGTTATGGCCAGGCACAGTGGCTCATGCCTGTAATCCCAGCACTTTGGGAGGCTGAGGCAGGAGGATTGCTTGAGCCCAGGAGATTGAGACCAGCCTGGGCAACATGGCAAGACCTCGTCTCTACAAAAAATTAGAAATTAGCTGGGCATGGTAGTGTGTGCCTATAGTCCTAGCTGCTTAGGAAGCTGAGGTGGGAAGATTACTTGAGCCCAGGAGTTTGAGGCTGCAGTAAGCCATGATTGTGCCACTGCACTCCATCCTGAGTGGACAGAGCAAGATACTGTCTAAAAAAAATAGTAATAATAAATATATATATATATATATGCAATGAATAATTAAGGAAATGAAAAAAGAACAGCATGTCCATCTTCCCTTAGAATAACTGTTATCATAAAGATGGAAGATAACAAGTGTTGACGAAGATATGGAGAAAAGGGAACGTAAAGTATTTTAGACATACAAATATAGATATAAATGAAAACCCAAATACTTGCCTCCCAGGTCATAAAACACAGTATTACAGGCTGGTTGTATGCCTATAGTCCCAGTACTTTGGGAGGCCGAGGCGGGTGGATCACTTCAGGTCAGGAGTTCGAGACCAGCCTGGCTGGTGAAACCCTGTCTCTACTAAAAGTACAAAAGTTAGCCAGGCATGGTGGCATAGAAAAAATACCACAGCCTGAGAAACAGCCAGAGGTTAAAAGGTAATGGCAAAAACTGCAATAGCTTTTGTACCAACCTAACATAAAAGTTAAGGAGAGAGAACTCTCTCCAAGAAAAATAAAATGTAGATCTTATTCTTGAGTTAGTATTCATTGTATAGCTATATTTTTCAAGGAAAAAGTACTGATTTCTGGCCTCAAAAAGGACTAAATTCTGTAATGTCCTAATGTGAATGGTTGGTTATTCACCAACCATTACTGCCAAGTGACAGAGGATTCTGTTCCTCACTTTTTGGCTGACTGCCTTTAGAACTTAAAGCCATCTCTCTGTTCTTCTGTGAGACAAAGTTTTTATTTGTATAATGAGAATGCTGTCTACTCCTATAACAATGTTAGCTTCCAAGAGATGTTGGGTGCTGTGTATCAAAATGGTGAGCTCCTGAAAATAGGTGCTACATAAAGCTGTGGTATTTTCCCTTTACTAGATGATACTACAAATCATTCCAACTCCTCCAAGGAGGTCCCTTCCTCAGCTGTTTTGAGAAGCCTTCGGGTGAATGTTGGTCCAGACGGAGAGGAGACGAGGGCTCAAACTGTACAGAAATCCCCGGAGTTTTTATCCACTTCAGAGTCTTCTAGCTTGTTGCAAGATCTACAGCCAAGTGATAACACTTCTTTTATTCTTCTGAACCTAACAAGAGCAGGTATTCTTTGCCTTTTTTGAGTTCTCATGCCTAAGAAAAAAATTAGGGGTGGGGCATATTTAACTTAGTCAGACTTAAAATAGAAAGAAGCTTTATTATTTTATTATTTTGGAGAATTGCTTTGTCTGGTGACCACTTGAATCTGTAGAGGGAGAGGGAGGACTCTAGTATGACTCTATGACTCATATCTTGTTTAGGAAATTAGGTAGTGCCGTTTACTGAGATAGCACAGGAAGAACAGGCTTGGGGGGAAGTGATTATTTCCAATTTGTGCCTATTTATGTTGAGATTTTGGAGGGACATTCAGGAGGACGTGTTCTTTTAGGGAGTTAGAAACAGGAATCCAGAGTTCTAGAAAGGTCAGTTCTGGTGCTTATCAGCATTCAGGAAATGTGTGAAACAATGAGCATGGACTCTTTGATTCAAGAAAGTCTGAAGCATAAACAGAAAAGAAGGCAAGTCTGGGACCCTGAAAAAAAAACATTTAAGGGGGCAACAGAAGAACAGGAAGGAGCAGCTGGAAGGGGATGAAGAGAACTAGGAGAGAATGGTAACGGGGAAGCCAAGGGAAGAAGTTTTAAGGCAGAAAAGATACTAAATCATGCCAAATATTATATCATAGGCTTATTAGTGAGATGAAGTGTGTTTCTGGTGACCTAGCAAGAGCAATTTTTACTGTGGTAGCTGAGGTAGAGGCCAGAGTTAAAGAGATGGGGAATGTAAGACAGTAGAAGAACACTTGTTCAAGAAACTTGACTTTAAAGGAACAGGGAAGAAGGTAATATCTAGAGAAGCACTTGGGGTGTTCTCTTCTTTTAAGGCGAGAGACTTGAGTTAGGACATATTTAAAGACTGTAGGGAAATGCTGGCTGTTGGAACCAGTTGCAAATGGGAGAGAGGAGAAAACTGAAGTATATATGGGGAGATAATTGAAGAATGAGAATGAAATATTGTAGGTGGAGGTTAGTCTCCTTGGCCAAGAAAGACAGCTTTGCCTCTGCAACCAGAGGAAAGTTAACGACAAGCCTGCAGGCTAAAGGTAGAAAGGTGATAGCCTACTCTTCAATGAGAAGTTTGAGGTAAAAGGTGAAGGTCTGGAATAGCCTATGTAGGACATGGAGAGTTTTTGAGCCAGGGCAAATAAAAAGCGTGGTTGCTAACTTTTCATGTAATTTGTTTCTTCCAGGTCTGGGCTCTTCAGCTGAGCACTTAGTGTTTGTACAGGATGAGGCAGAAGATTCAGGGAATGATTTTCTCTCCAGTGAGAGCACGGACAGTAGCATTCCATGGTTCCTCCGGGTTCAGGAATTGGCCCATGACAGTTTGATTGCTGCTACTCGTGCACAGCTGGCAAAAAATGCAAAAACCAGCAGCAATGGTGAGGCCTGTCGGCATTTTCTTGCCACTACTATGTGCAAAGAGATTTGGTAATGCAGTGGCTGCTTTGAGTTGTATGTAATTCAAGTTATTTTATTGATGAGAGCAGAAGGCTAGAAATCTGTAAATTGTTTAAATTTTGTTTTCTGTAAAATAGCTTGGCCATGCCAGATTTATGTCCAAAATCAACTAGTATTCTGAATTTTCAACTTTAATGTACAGAGCCCCTTTTAAAGAAAAAATAATACACGTCTTGGGGTTTGAATTGTTTTTATTGTAATGTCCCTTAAATATGCAAAAACAGAAATTCTGTGTAAACCTTATATACCTAGAGCTCTTATACCATCATGAAATCGAAACAGTTATCAGTTAATAGAAATAAAACTACCAAACCCATGAAAATAAAAATAATATTAAGTCATTGTGGCAGAGGATTATCTAAATTGCTGTTCATGGCAGTTTATCAATTAGGTATGATGTTTTTAATGCCTTTTCTTTTCAGTTCAGCATGCCTGTACTACTTACTCTGTGCCACTTTTCTCTGTTCTGGTAATTTTCAAAGTATTGTCACTGGATTGTTGATGTCATGTGGGAACTGAGAAATGCAAACTCTGAGGCCCATGCCAGACCTACTGAGTCAAAAACTTGGTTCTGATTCGTGTTAAAGCTTGAGAACCACGGTTCTAATCAAACCACTGCAGAATCTTTGCTTATGTAGCATGTTATTAATACTTTTTTAGGTCTGCCTCTGTATTTTCTCATTAACATGTGACGACTCAATACTACATGGTTCAGTGCTATCATTATGACAAACTAAGCTTAAACACAGTACACAGCTGTTTGGAGTTTATGCAGATGATCTAGTATATGCTTATTATTTTTTGATTACTATTCAAATGAAAATAAAAAGTTAAATTTCTCATAGAGAACTAGAGTTTTCTGTGAATATTTTGAAACATGTAATTTTTTTTGGTCTTTTTTTTTTTTTCCTTTTTGTGGAAAATGGAGTTTTGCTGTATTGCCCAGACAGGTCTCAAACTCCTGGACTCAGGTTCTCCTCCTGCCTCTGCCTTCCTAAGTCCTGGGATTATAGATGTGAGCCACCATGCCCAGCCAAACTCTAAACTTCTTTTTGTTTTCAAAATACTTAGTTCTGTTTATGACTACCATAGTGGTACTTAGAATGGTTCATTTTACTGTTTTGGTGGGACCTTTAAAGTTCAGATTCTTCCTGAGATGTATGTGCCAATCTCTGGATGCTAAAACCTTCAGCATTTCCTCTTGCATTGAAGAAATAGTGCCATATTTGCTGGTGAGAAGCAGTGTAGGGAGGGGAGTTTCCAATTTAGAATCTGGGGCGTGGGATCTAGGCCTGGCATCATCATTTACTGGTTCCCTCCCTTGGGCAGTTTAACCTCCCTTAGCTTCAATTTTCTTAAAATCTGAACAAAGAGATCAGGCAGCTTACCTGATTGACTTGCTATGGAGATTATATAACATTCTGTCTGGGAAATGCTATAATCAGCAAAGCATTGTGTGGATGTTTTTCTCACTCTCAAAATATGTTGCCTTTACTATCTTAAGAACTACCATGTATGCCTAAATATTATATCTCCCCAAATATAAGACAGTCTTTCATTTTTCAACAAAGTAATCCCCTAAACACCTTTTTTTTTTTTTTTATAAGTTAATTCTGCAAACTTTTACACATGTAGATAAAATTAACATTGTAGGTTGCTATTTGGAAACTTTATGATTTTGGTTATACATACACATTTTATTTTATTTTTGAGATCAAGTCTCACTCTGTCACCCAGGCTGGAGTGCAGTGGTGCAATCTCGGCTCATTGCAAACTCCGCCTGCCGGAACCAAGCAAGTCTCTGCCTCAGCCTCCCAAGTAGCTCGGAATACATGTACATGCCACCATGACTGGCTAATGTTTGTATTTTTGGTAGACACAGGGTTTCACCGTGTTGGCCATGGCTGGCCTCAAACTCCTGACCTCAGGTGGTCCACCTGCCTTGGCCTCCTGCAGTGCTGGGATTACAGGCATGAGCCACCGCACCTGGCCTTACATATACATTTTAAATCATATGAAATATATCAATATTGCTTTCACCCACTAACACAAGCTTGTCCAACTCACAGCCTGTGGGCCACATGTAGCCCAGCATGCCTTTGAAAACGTTCCAACACAAATTCATAAACTTTCTTAAAACATCATGAGGGGTGTGTGTGTGTGTGTGTGTTTTAAAGCTCACCGGCTATCGTTAATATATTTTATGTGTGGTCCAAGACAATTCTTTCATTGTGGCTGAGGGAAGCCAAAAGATTGGACACCCTTGCCCTAACATGTAATGAAATTATTTTATTCAGTATTTTAATTCATTTCTAACATAAATATCTTTGGCATTGTCAACACTGAAGTCATTTTGTGAGTCCTCTAGCATAGTGTTTTGGAGCACATTATCTTCACTTAAAATCTAAGTTTGAAATACAGAAATGTCTTAATTTTGCATAAGATGTATATGAGATCAGCAAAGGCCTTTGGGCCAAATCCCCTTTTTATAAAGTTTTATGGGAACATAGGTATGCACATTACTTACAGATTGTCTAAGGCTGCTACTGTGGCAAAGCTGAGTAGTTGTAACAGAAACCTAGTGGCAGCTGGGTGCAGTGGCTCATGCTTGTAATCCCAGTACTTTGGGAGGCCAAGGTGGGCAGATCACTGGAGGTCAGGTGTTCAGGACGAGCCTGGCCAACATGATAGAACTCAAATATACTCTTTTCTGAGGGTTTCTTTTTTTAGGGAAAAATTTGCCTTATATTTATTTGAGCATATATTGATTATCTTCATTGTTGAACAGAAGGAGTTTCAGTGATTTCTTAGCCTTGCCTTATTCCATGTATTCATTTTTTCCTGTTTTATGATTATATCAATATTATATTTACAAAACTGAATGCAGAAAGCCCCTCTATCACTGATTCGATCTCTGTATTAGCATGATGTTTTTGGCCTGTGCAGTGGCTCACGCCTGTAATCCCAGCACTTTGGGAGGCCAAGGTGGGTGGATCTTTTGAGCTCAGAGGCCCTCCTGGGCAAGATGGCAAAACACAATTTCTACAAAAAAAAAAAAAAATACAAAAAATTAGCCGGGTATGGTGATGTGCACCTGTCTCTAGTCCCAGCTACTTGGGAGGCTGAGGTGGGAGGATCACCTGAGCCAGGAAGGTTGAGGTTTCAGGGAACCGAGATCATGCCGCTAGATTCCAGCCTGGGCAACAAAATAAGACCTTTTTAATTTAAAAGAAAAAAGCATGATGTTTTAACAGACATTTCATTAGAAATCAGTTAGCTGGAGCTCTGGGGTTGGTGGGAAGATTCTTTCATGGCATGTGAATTTTTGCGCTACATGTGTAGTATTTTAAGTAAACACGTTTTTAAAAACCTTGGGACAATATTAAAGAAAAAGTTAATAGTAACTAGCAGAAAACATCCTAGGTTCTGCTGTGACCTTGGAGCAATTAGTTTTATGACTAGTATTTGGTAAAGTATAACAAGGAGGACATTAATAGATGGGACAGAAACTGCCTTTGATTAACCATCAGGTTCCAGTGATTGTGATAGGTACAACATGCATATTCTCTTTTGGCTGTTGAGGGAGAAATTTGGAGACACAAATCTTATTGCTAAGGTATATTTGTGGAAAGATATACTGCCTGCGTATGCACATAGCAGAATTAAATGACTATTGATTTTTTTTCCTCTATTGATGTTCAAGTATTTCTTGAAGAAAGTGAAGGAAAAGGACCACCACCTGCTAATCTGGAATTTATATAATATTTAAGTAACTGATTTCATTTACATTTAAGGGAAGCACTTTGTATTCTTCTCCTCACCTCTCTTCTGTTGAACAAAACTCCAGTAGATATTTTCTCTTACTTTTTAAAATGTGGTTAGAAATTTAAATCATCTGAGTTTTTGTATTCCTTAAGTATTTTATAACAAAAGGAGAATGGTACAGGAAATTGGAAGATGGTTCTTAGTTTCCAGAATGATAGGAAATGGCCAAATTCATTCAGAAGATGGAAATCTAAAAATGGCCATCTGTCAAAGAAATCAGCTGTAAGCCCACACTGGGCTAGAATGACTGCTTCTCATTAAAATACAATGGGTTTTTTTTGTTTTTTTGTTTTTGAGACAGGGTCTTAACTCTTGCTCAGGCTGGAGTGCAGTGGTGCAATCTTAGCTCACCGCAGCCTCCGCCTCCTGGACTCAAGCAAAATACAGTGTTGTTACTACTCAGAACATTACCATCTTTGTAGCACCCCATTCTGGGTGTTGCTATCCCTGCTTCTCCACCAAACTATAATGCAGAGTGGGTTTAATTCTGCCTTTTAAGATTTCTAATAGCAAACCATTTTGGATATTTCTTATATTTGTCAAAGAGGCCTAGTCTTGTGAAACAAAGTATGATAGTGTTTGGTAGTTTTTCTGGAGTAAGGGGATGAAGATGTAGAGTACTTGTGTTTCTGTTGTTTTATTATATCTGTTTATTTTTTGAGACAGAGTCTTGCTTTGTCACCCAGGCTGGAGTACAGTAATCACAGCTCACTATAGCCTCAGCCTTGGAGCCTCAACTATAGGCCCGTTTGTTTGTGTTTGTTTGTTTGTGTTTTGTTGAGATACGGTTTCGCCATGTTGCCCAGGCTAGTCGGAACTCCTGGGCTCAAGCAGTCCTCCCACCTTGGCTTCCCAAACTGCTTGGGATTATGGGCATGAGCACCACACCTGGCCAAGTTTCTACTGTTAAGTGCATACAAAGAGAACTGGGGAAGATGAAGATAGATAACTGATTAATGATCACTAGAAGATAGATAACTGATTAATGATCACTAGGAGTAAAATATAAGAGCTTTATTATTTGAGCCTATGTATCTTAGTAGGATCCTTCCCTGGATTCTAAACATGTGACTCTGTTATAGGAGAAAATGTCCACCTTGGTTCTGGTGATGGACAACCCAAAGATTCTGGGCCCCTTCCTCAAGTGGAAAAGAAGCTCAAGTGTACAGTTGAAGGCTGCGACCGGACATTTGTATGGCCAGCTCACTTTAAATACCACCTCAAGACTCATCGGTGAGCAAATCTGAGATCTCATATTTGGATATACATTGATGCAAAAGTTGATTCTTCAGAGGAACTTGTCCCTCAGGTTGACAGAATACAGCAAAGTAGGGACTCCAGTTAACTTCTGGTTAAGATGTCTTTTTTTCCTTAATAGAAAGATTTGCATTGTCTCATTTATCTCATTCTTGATAAGTATTTAATGAGACATTTGGGACCTAAAGGCCTTAAACCATGAGTTCTCAGGTTTCATTATAAAACATAGTTCCTTTGAGAACTTAAAAGTAACAAATAAGCATGGGCCCCTTCCTTTAACCTATGAAATCAGTTTGAGGGGTGGTGCTAGGCATCTGTAGTTTTTTGTTTGATTTTTTTTTTAAGAGACTGGGTCTCACTTTGTCACAAAGGCTGGAGTGCAGTGGTACCATCATAGCTTACTGCAGCCTCAAACTCCTGGACTCAAGTAATCTTCCTACCTCAGCCTCAGTTGATATTACAGACTTGCACCACCACACCTGGCTAATTTAAAAAATTTTGTTTAGAGGCAAGGTCTCGCTGTTTTGCCCAAGCTGTTCAAACTCCTGGGCTCTAGTAAGCTTCCTGCCTCAGCCTTCTGAGTAGCTGGGATTATAGGCGTGAGCCTAGCTATAGTTTCACAAAGTCTTCAGCTGATTCTGATGTATCCATTTTTTGGACTTATTGTTTGCCTTGAGAGTCAATAGGAGTTTTGATTTGCCATCTCTAGCAAAGTGTATTTTCAGATATTTTTGCTTATGTGATTATTTTTGCAGAAATGACCGCTCCTTCATCTGTCCTGCAGAAGGTTGTGGGAAAAGCTTCTATGTGCTGCAGAGGCTGAAGGTACACATGAGGACCCACAATGGAGAGAAGCCCTTTATGTGCCATGAATCTGGCTGTGGTAAGCAGTTTACTACAGCTGGAAACCTGAAGAACCACCGACGTATCCACACAGGTGTGTGTAGCACCAACATTCCCTTGGGCAGTCTATTCCTTGGCTCTGCATGTTTGCCTATCCTTAGGAAAAACTCAAGTGGGAATAGACATGAAGGTCTGGGGTCGTTGCTAGAACTCTGAAGATCGGATTTCTTTTTCAAATGACTTGTGGCACTTATAATAACATTTATTGTATTTTTAGCTGTGTGTGTAGCGTGGACAATGTTGATTTCTGTCTCTAGGAGCCAGACCTGTAGGAAGAGTTATAAGACCTTCTCAGACAACAATTATGTGGGGAGATGTGGACAAAATCAGTCTGTGTTCAAATCTTTTTGAACACTGTACAGTTTTTAATTTGGAGCAGTAACATTTATTGAGTCACACAAATCATACAGAACATGTTCTAGTCACTAAATGGGGTAGGGTGGGTAAAAATACAAAAGATAAGATATAATCCCTGACTTTCTTGTTAGAACCTTACAACATGACAAACAGAATAGGGAAGTGAATTATTCTGGGTCACACAGCATGTTAATATCTAAGGAGCAAAATAAAGATTCCTTGACTCTTAGTCTAAGAGTCTAAGAGTGAGCCAGGAGTGGTGGCACATGTCTGTAATTCCAGCTACTTGGGAGGCTGAGGCAGGAGAATTGATTGAACCTGGCCGGCAGGCAGAGGTTGCAGTGAGCCAAGATTGCGCCATTGCACTCCAGACTGGGCAATAAGAGCAAAACTCCGACACACACACAAAAAAGAAGAGTCTAAGGGTGATTTTACAAGCCACTTGGTCCAGCATGTGCTAGTCTCTAGCCAAAGTGTAATCACTGAACCCAGACCACTCTTAGAATGTGTAACTGTTCTTCCCCACTTTCTTGTCACTTTCACTGATTCTTCTTTCTTGATTCTTGCATTGGTAAAATGACAGTGGTAAAAATTAAAAGGCATATATATATACTTTTTTTTTTTTTTTTTTACAGAGTTTCGCTCTCGTTACCCAGGCTGGAGTGCAATGGTGTGATCTCTGCTCACTGCAACCTCCGCCCCGTGGGTTCAAGCAATTCTCCTGCCTCAGCCTCCAGAGTAGCTGGGACTACAGGCGTGCGCCACCATGTCTAGCTAAATTGTATTTTTAGTAGAGATGGGGTTTCACCATGTTGACCAGGATGGTCTCCCATCTCTTGACCTGGTGATCTGCCTGCCTTGGCCTCCCAAAGTGTTGGGATTATAGGCGTGAGCCACCTCGCCCGGCCTTATTTTTGTTTTTTTAATTAGTCAAGTGCAGTAGTGACAAGAGGGGAAAAAGTAAAGCAAGGCACTTGATCTGTAACTGACTATGAACATCAGTTATCACTACCTTCAGATCAGCCCATTCTTGTAGCATTTGATAACACTGAACATCTTAAAATGCTTTCCTTCTTTCTTATATATTTATTTATTTTTGAGAGAGTCTTATTCTGTCATCCAGGCTGGAGTACAGTGACGTGATCTCAGCTTACTGCAACCTCTGCGTCCTGGGTTTCAAGCGATTCTCATGCCTCAGCCTCCCAGTAACTGGGATTATAGGCATGCACCACCATGCCCAGACAATTCTTGTATTTTTAGTAGGGGTTTTGCCATGTTGGCTAGGTTAGTCTGGAACTCCTGAACTCAAGTAATCCACTGACCTCGCCCTCCCAAAGTGCTGGGATTACATGTGTGAGCCACCACGCCCAGATTTAAAATTCTACTTCAATGAATGACTACTTCAAAATATGACCAGATTTTCCCATTTTTCTTTTTTTTCTTTCTAATTCTTGCTAGTTTTTAATCTCTGTTAATCTCTGAATTGTTCACCAGTTTCAGAATTCCTTGTTCCTTCTTTTTTACTCAGTGTACTCTCTTGTCATAATCTCAGGCCTCAATTTAATTATTTCTTCCTAATAATCTAAATGTCAATAATAATTAATATGATAATAAAATTAGCATTTATCAACTCCAAAGCTCTTCTAAGGATTTTATTTTCAAATGCTGCCAACTCAGTTTATCTCACACGTCAAAACTGACCTCAAATCTTTATTAGTAGTAATGATAGTAATTAAAGCTGCAATTAAGGTCAGGCACAGTGGTTCACACTTGTAATCCCAGCACTTTGGGAGGTCAAGGCAAGCAGATCACTTGAGGGCAGGTGTTCAAGACCAGCCTGGCCAACACAGCAAAACCTTGTCTCTACTAAAAATACAATTAGCCAGGTGTGGTGCTGGGTGCCTGTAATCCTAGCTACTTGGGAGACTGAGGCAAGAGACTTGCTTGAACCCGGGAATTGGAGGTTGCAAGTAAGCTGAGATCGCACCACTGCACACTCCAGCCTGGGAGAAACAGCGAGACTCTTATCTCAAAAAAAATTTTCTTTTGGCAGTGGCTCATGCCCATAATCCCAGCACTCTGTGGGGCTGAGGCAGGTGGATCACCTGAGGTCAGGAGTTCGAGACTAGCCTGACCAACATGGTAAAATGCCGTCTCTATTCAAAATACAAAAATTAGCCAGGCGTGGTGGCACATGCCTGTAATCCCAGCTGCTAGGGAGGCTGAGGCAGGAGAATTGCTTGAACCCAGGAGGCGGAGGATGCAGTGAGCCGAGATTGAGCCATTGTACTCCAGACTAGGCAACAAGAGTGAAACTCCTTCAAAAAAAAAAAAAAAAAAAATTAAAGAAAGCTGCTAATTCAGTGGCTTACTATGAGGGCTTACTATGTGCCAGGCACTATGCTGAATATTTACCTGGTATTATCTTATTTAATCCTGAAACTGTATTGTCTCCATTTTATAGATGAAAAGGGGATTTTTAGAGCAATTAAATACCTTCCCAGTACAAATAAGTGGTAGGGCCAGGATTTGAAGTCAGGATTGGATTAATAGACCCCAAAGGCCATGTTTTTCACCATTTTGCTGCATTGCCTTTTAAACCCCTTCCTTCTCCTGCGTCCCTTATTCCAGCAAAATAACCATCCTCTCAGTTTCCAAATAGGCGGGTATGTTCTCTAACCAGCTTGATGCAGAGATTAAACTTTTTCTAAATCCTTTTTGTGTTTTTAGTCTTTAGCTCATCTTTTGAAACATTTGACCTTGTTATTACTAAAATTTTCTGTTTTCTTGACATTTGTTTTGTCACGTACATTAGTGTATTGTTCATTCTTTCAATAACTTTTGAGTACCTAGCATTCTGGGGGTAGGGATGAGTATACAAATAAGCATTGAAAAAAGTTACTGTTGGAGAATCACAAACATTAAGCTGTTTGGTATAGTCTAAAAGAATAGTATATCTGGCAGTGCTGTTTCCTCCTAGCAAGCTCAGCTCCGGTATTGTCACCATGCCATATTACTTGCCATTTTCTGAACTTGTCCTGGGCACTCTTAGTTTCAAAGCTCTGCTCACACTGTTCCTTGTGCTTGAAATGTCCCTCCATCCTTGTCATCTTTTAGATGAACTCAAATTCAGCTGCTTTCAAAAATACTGCAGCGGAGCACTTTTTCTTCTATTTATGAATACATTTGTCTGTCTCACACTAGCCTGTGACCCTTGGAGGATAGAGACTGCATCTTTTTTCTTTGTTTGTTTTGATTTTTTTTAAGACACGGTCTCTCTCTGTAGCCCAGGCTTGAGCCTAGGAATTTGAGATCAGCCTGGGAAACATAGTGAGACTCCGTCTCCAAAAAAATTATACTTTTAGATGGATCTAGAAACTGAGTCTTAAAATTGTTATAAGTTAAAAATCCTGACAGCATATACAGTATTAATCTTGATATCCTCAGAGGGTGGGAATCACTGAAGAAGTTAGGTCACTGCAACTCTCCAGCTCTTGGGCCAGGAGGGAGAAGAAGTATGAAGCTCAGAGGCAGCCATTTTAAGGAAGAGGGCAAGGCTGTCTGGTGGGATGTATACTAAAAGATCACTGAGGCCGGGCGCGGTGGCTCACACCTGTAATCCCAGCACTTTGGGAGGCCAAGGCGGGTGGATCACAAGGTCAAGAGATCA